GTGTGTGTGTGTGTGTGTGTGTGTGTGTGTGTGTGTGTGTGTGTGTGTGTTCCACAAATGGGTTTATGTTCACAGACTTTGTCGTCTACTACTACTAGCTAGCATTTAGAAAGCACTTTAGGGTTTGGAAAGCACTTTACAAATATTATCTCATTTGATCCTCACCACAATCACGAGGTAAGTGCTAGCATTATTATTAGAAGGAGACTCTATGTCCTGTCTTTTGCATATCTGTTGCGGTGTCTATATATTTGCAGTATCCTCTACGTCTGTAAGAGGAAGAGGCAGAGTGGAGGCAGGAAGGGAGAGAGAGAGAGAGAAGGGGAGGAAGGGGGGGAGAGGAGAGATGGGGAGGGAGGGAGAGAGAGAGAAGGGAGAGGGAGAGAGAAGGGAGAGAGGGAGGGAGGGAAGAGATGGAGAGGGAGGGAGGGAGGGAGAGAGAGAGAGAGAGAGAGAGAGAGAGAGAGAGAGAGAGAGAGAGATCATTGGACTTGGGAATGAATGCTTAGGTTCAAATTCCAGCACAGCTATTTACAAGTAGTGCACCTTAGACAAAGACAGTTCACTTCCCCAGGCCCCTGTTTCCGTTTCTGTACAATGAAGGGGTAGCTGGCTAGCTGACCTCTGACGTCCCTTATAACATTTGTGACTGTGTATGCAGAATGTTGTATATATGTGCATGTGTATTGTGCATCTATGAAGTGGTGTGTGTGTGTGTACGCTGTGTAAGGATTGCCGTCCTGTGTACTAGCCCTGGGGCCATGAATGAGCTACATAGCCTCTCTAAAGCTGCCTAGGTCTCATTATGGGTAAAGTGGGGAGTATGGCATTTGAAGCTGAAAGAGATCCCAGAGATCGTTCAAGCCAACCTCCTCCTTTTACAAATGAGGAGCTATTATTATAGGTCACAGAGCTGGAAGGGCTCCGCGAAGCCATTTAGCTCAAACCTTCATTTTACAGAAGGGGAAACTGAGGCGCAGAAAAGTGAAGAAGCTTGCCTGAGGGTACGAAGGAAGTAAACACCGGAGGCGGAATGTGAGCCGGGACTCTCTCCATTCTGCCACACTGCCATACTGTTGCGTGGGTCTGTGTACATAAGGGGGATCGTTTGGTGGGGGAGTTGCAGTATATCATGTATGAGATCTTTTTGTGGAGAATGGGAGGGTGCGGAGGATAGGAGCCGTGGGGAGCGCATCTGCTCCTAGACCTGCAGGAAAACCCCTGGCCTTTCAGTCCTGGGAAGGGGTCAGTCTAGACTGTAGGGCCCCCTCCCCCCCACACACAGGGCCAGCTGTCTGGCCAGGCCAAGAGGGCGGGGCTCTGTGGGGCCCACCCGAGGCATCTGGCTCAGGGGTTGAAGTAGCCTCCCGGGGGACGGGGCGGGGCTTTCCCTGCAACCGAGGTCAGACTGGAGGGGACCTCCAGCTGCTGCAGCTCGGGGTGGTACAAACTGGTTGGGCCTTGGAACCCCGCCTGCCCAAGCACATACACCCTCCCACATACACACACACTCGCACCGCCCTTTCCCTCTCGCACTCAGCTCTCCCTCCTCCAAACACCAACTCAAGGATCCTTGCTCAAGCTAGCAGCACACGCGCACACACACACACACACACACGCACATTCTCACACTGCAGGCACAGCTCACTCCTCCCCTCGGCACACTGCGGCCGGGAGGGGGCTCGATCACTTGCTCGCTAGCTAGCTCGCGCACCCTCCCAGCACCCCTGGGCACATGCGCTGCCCGCAGCCCCTCTCCTCCCACCCCCGACACTGCGCCTAGACCCACACTTCCCCTATACAAAACATGCTCCCACGCACGCACGCACACTCCTTCCCTTCCTCACCCAGAAGACAGACACACTCCTCTTTCACACACGACGGACACACACATTTCTTTCTCTTTACAAAAAAAGTGCAGACCCACACTGCAGACACACTCACTGCACAGACACTCTCCTCTGCCTGTCACCAACACCGCTCGTTTACAGGCCAGCGCACCCCTTCTCCCTCTCCCCAAACACACACACACACACACACACACGCACACACACACGCGCACCACCACCTCTTCCCCCCACCTCCAGCGGTCAGTTGCTGAGCTCGGGGGCGGGGCCAGGGAAGGGGGTGGCCCGGGGCGGGGCCAGGGAGCCTATAAAGGCTGGGGCCGCGGGGACTGCCAGGCTCCTCTCGGCGGCGGCGGCGGCGCTGCGCCTTCAGGTCCGGGCTGTGATACCATCGGCAGCAGCTGCAGCTTCACTGGGGAGCCCCCGGCCTCGGTCCTGGTGAGTGCCCGAGGGCTGGCCGGTCCGGCCGGGCTCCCCACTCCAGTCCCGTTTCCTGCCTTCCGCTCGCCTTCTTCCCTGTGCCCAAAGCGGGGCTGAGCGAGTGAACCTGCTGCTGCTACCACCCCTGCGGATGGTCTGCACCGTGGCCGCTGCTGCTCATTTGGGGAGGAGGGGTGTGTGTGTGCGTGTGTCCGCGCACTAGTGACCACCTCCACCTCCCGGGTTCCGCAGCTCCGCCCGGAGGGGACGGGGGGACCCAGCTTGTGGGGAGACCAGGCGGCAGGCAGACCCTCGAATGCCCTCCCGTGCTGCCCGGAGCCCTGAGCCCTGAGCCCCAGTCCTTCGGCAGGGGCGGTGGAGGCGGTGGCGGCGGCGGCGGCAGCTTTTGTTTGGGGCCCAGCTGGCGGAGGGGGAGGGAAGAAGTTGCTTCTGCTTTAACCCTGGGACTGTGTGTGAGTGAGAGGGGGTGGGGTCCCAGATGTTCCGTGTGACACTGGCGGAGAGAGACAGGGGGCGGGGCGTGGAGGTCGGGACTCCAGGAGAGGAGGAGGGACTGAGGACCCGGGAGGGAGGGAGATACCCACACCTACACACTGGAGGTGGGGAGAGAAACACCCGATAGCTGCAGGTCTCACTTGGCATCCCTTTCCTTTGTCCCTCCCCTGTCTCCATCCGGCGGGGTAGGACTTAGCGATTGGGTTCCCTTTGCCCCTTCCTCTGCTTCTCCTCCTTCCCCTTACACAAATCCTCTTTTCTCTACTTGGATTTTCTCGCTCCTGGCAAGATCCCGGACAAAAAATGGTGCAGAAGAAAGCAGCTGAACTTGAGGGTTTCCATCGTTCGTTCAAGGTACCTGGGGCTGCTTGCCCTGATCCTGGGCCGGTGGGGAGGGGCAGACTTTGGCTCCTGGCTCTTGGGCCGTCTTCGATGTTGGGATGGCTCTAGTTGCATTGGGAGGTGAAGTTTTCCTGGAAGGCTTCTAAGAGATCGTCTTCTCTTTTTGTAGAAGACAGAAACATCCTCAGAGAGAGGTAGGGGCTTGCTCAATGTCTTCCATCAACTGAGTTTTCAGGTTCTTCTCGAGGGTTGATTTTTCTTTGGGGAGGGGGGAATGTCGGGAAGACCTGGGGATAAACTTAGAAGCTTGGTCAAGCTCAACTAGAGGAGTTCGGTCTGGCAGGGAGGGGGGATTGACTAACAGTGATCCAGGCTGGGCCTGCCCCCCATCAGTTGTGCTGACTAAGCACCCCCAGTTTCTCTCACCTCTGTATCCCAATGAGGTTTCTTCCCCAATTGCCTGGAGAAGAGAGCTCTTCCCTAGAAAGAGTAAGCCCCTGGTCACTGTCTCCTTGCCTTGCCCCGGGGAACCCTGGTCTTTGCTAGTAAGAGAGGGTGTGTATCTGGGTAACTGCTTTCCTGATTCCCTTTCTGTCTTCCCTCCCGACATTCCTTCTCTCCCTGGTCCCCCACCCCCTTTCAGGGATTTCCTGCTCTGGGATACTGTGTTTTCTGGGGGCTGATTGAAAGAGCCCTTTCTACTGCTGGGGAAGCACTGATCTATAGCAGCAGGGTGGTTGAGAGGGATAAGGAAGGGTCAGTGTAGAATTGGAACCTGTTCTGGACAGGCTGACCCTCCCTGCCTTGACTTATAGAGTGCAAGACTTAGAATTCATAGCCTCAGTTTCTTCCTTCAGGGAGATCATAAAATCAGAAAGTTGGAGAGAGACCTTAGAGATGTTACTCCAGCCCCCTCCCTCATTCTATAGATGAGGAAACTATAAAATGAGGAAACCGAGACCCCTGGGGGAAAGGGCCTGGCCAGAATCACACTGGCAGCCATAGCTGTAGAATCCGGACTCTGCTGACCTCCTTCTTCCATGTGTTTTGGAGGAGTGCTATTGAGAAGCTCTGAGTTCTGAGCCTGACAAGAGGACCTTACCATCCTTACAGCTTCCAAGAGAGTTTAGGTATCAGGAAGACCTGAGCTCAGACACTTACAGCTGTGTTACCCTGGGCAAGTCACTCAACCTCTCTGTGCTTCAGGTTCTTCATTTGTAAAATGGGCATAACCTAAGAGCTGTCTTCTGGGAGGATCAGATTAAGTGACTATGTCCAGAATGCATTGCAAACCTTAAGGCACAGTATAAATGCCAGCTGTAGTCATTATCTGCCTGGCATTCATTTTGAATCCTCAGCTTAAAAACCATTTCCTGTCTTGCCGGGAAGCTTTGGGGCTCTGATACAATATCTCAAATTAATGTTGGATTTTTTTGGGGGGGGGTGAGGGGTGGGGGGAAGGAAGAAAGAGGCTGGAGAGTGAGAAAGGTCTGTTGTGGGAAGAGGAGGCAGGCTCCTGTCCCCGTTCCTCTCCACCTCCTTTTTCCCAGGACAGAATGATGTCAGCATTTGGGCTTATGTAATGGCCTCATTTGGAAATAACCTGTTGCTGAGTAAGATAGGCAGGGATGCACTGTGTGTGTGTGTGTGTGTGTGTGTGTGTGTGCATGCATGCATGCACCCTGTTTGAGGCATTGGAGGTGCTGCTGCAAACCTGTAGGTTGGGTGACTGGTTAATCTGGGTGGGAGGGGTAAATGAAGAGAGTTACAGAGAGAGTTCCTACGGAGCCTGTACCTCTTTGTCTCTTCCTTGGTCTCTCTCGCACACAAACATTAATTTCCTTTAGATTCATCCCAGAGTGCCTGGCCGGCCTCTGGGTAGCTGGGTGCCTGCTTTCTTGCCATCTTCCGGTTGGGATCCGATCAGGCCCTTAAGAGGTTCTGGGGGCTCTCCTCGAATTCCTCCAGAGGACGGGGAGGTGGAGGCCTAGAGTCTCAGCTCTTGAAGGCGTTGAGAGATGCTGCTTGAGCAGATGAGTGGATCTGAGGCGTGCGCTGCAAAGTCAGAATCCATTCCCTCCTGTGTTTCTCTATGAAAAACCTGACTCTGCTGCTACTGCTATCGGTGGCATCTAGCAAAAAGAGCCTTGGGAGATCCTGGCCTTCGCCACTTCCTAGCTTTGTGACCCGGAGCAAGGCCCACTACCTCTGCTAGTTTCCTCCTCTGGTAGAGATGGTTGTCCCCCTGGGGACCCTCCCTTTGTAATTTATCCTCACTCTTCACCATGGGTTCCTGTGAAGTGGGTTGGTGGAACTCATGGTAGACAGGTATGCTCTTTCTCCTGCCTAACCTTTTTTCTCCTGCTTCAGTCGGAGCCCATTTTCCCCTTTGAACACTAGAGACTTGCCTGATCTTTCCAAACAGTCTTTCAGCTTTAGACTTTTTTAGGGGGGGTAGGTGTTGTACCCCCCAGTTCTGCAGCTCCCCCTGTGGTGGGGGGAGGCTTGCCTGGGCCAGCTCAGCAGAATAAGCCCCGCATCAGTCCTAAGCCAGAGTAAACACAAATTTCTCCATGGTTCCAGCCTCTTGCCAAGGCCTGCTGACCCTGCTTCCCTACCAAGCTGAAGTCTGAGGGGTGTTGGCCTTTGGGGCCAGACCAGAGCAGGGAAGGCGACTCTTTGCCCCCTTCTCGAGTATTAGAATTGGGGGAGGGAGAGGGGGAGGGGAGAGACTGCTCCTCCTCATCCTGTTTTTCTGAGACATTTAATATGCTTGTTTGTTTTTTTAAATTCTAAGAAGCTCAGGGTTGTGACACAGAAGGGTTAATAAGTGTTGAAATGAATGGTAGGTCTCTGGGATAACTTGGGGTTTGGGGGAGCGGCCCCATTGTGGGCCTGCTTGGCCTTTTTCAGAGAGGCCAGTCTGATCGGTGGGACTGGTGTAGCACACTGGTTTGGAATTGGGAGACCTTGTTCTAGTTCCACTGAGTGTCTTAGTTGCTTTTTAGAAGAAAACTTCAAGATAGAATGGTCCTTAGTTAATAAATGAGGGAACTGAGCCCGAGAAGCTAGCAATAATGGCCCCCATTGGAAATCATCAAGTAGTACCCCGATTTTCATTTTGCCTTTCTCTGTATCCCCAGCACAGTGCCCTGGCATGGTAAGCACAGAATAAATGCTTGACGCCTGACCCCCTGCTTTCCTCACAAGAAGCCTGTGAGAATGGTGTGATCCCATTAGAAACTGAGAAGTTGTGTGTGTGTGTGTGTGTCTGTGTTTGTGTCTGTGTGTGTCCCTGTCCAGGAAAGAATAGACAGTACGTTTACCCCTTTGCTTGGGCCTGTTCTGCCTTGGCTCCTTTCAGGGACCTGCCCACTCCCTCCATGGAAGAGAAAGGCTAAAAAGGGGGTGTTGTTGGGTTGGGGGTAGGATGATTCCAGGTTTTGACCCCACCCGCCCCAAGCTGGTTTAGTCTGGAACCTCCTCTCTTTCTCTTCTTCCCCCGCTGCTCCCAGGCCTGGCTCCTAGCAACAATCTCTGCCCCTTGGGGGGTGGGGGAGGGGAGGAGGCTCTTAAGCAACATTTGTTTTCCACCCCTCCCTCCCAGCCCCAGGGTTTGACCTCTGCCTGATTCCTGGGCTGAGAAGTCTGTGATGGGCAGCTGTCAACATCTGGCTAGGTCCCTTCCTTGGAAGGAGGGAGAAGGAGAGAGGAGAGAGAGAGAAAGAGAGAGAGATGCTGAATTAGGTTCGAAAGGGGATAGTAGTGTGAGCCTCACATCTCCCAGAACTTTCTCTCTTGGTGGTCAGATTACAAATAGAAAGAAAAAAAAAGTACTTTGAATTTTTAAAGAGTTTAAAACTTTTATATTTGCATTCTATAGATTCTCCCCAAATCTCTCCTCATCCCCTTCTTTAAAATTGGGTGGGTGAAGGACGGTGTTCTCATTTTATAGAAGGGAAGATAGGTCCAGGGAGGCTTAGAAAGACTGGACCAGGCCTGGCTCCCAGGGAACTCCCTGGACCCTCAGGCTTTTCTACTCTTGTGTACCAAGTGATGGGGTAATAGAAGACTGGCTGAGTCTGAGAATGATCCTGAAGAATGATGCTGATTTCTGTAATCAGCATCTTATTCCTTTACACTCCACCACAAACCGTGCCAGGGTGGGAGAGGCAAATAAATAAGAGTCTGGGGCTGTAAAAAGAGTACTTGGGTTTGGCTGCTTTTGGTAAAGATCTTGGGCAAATTTCTTCTCCCTGGGCCTCAGTTTCCCCGTCTGTAAAAGGAGGAAGTTGAAGATTCTTTCCGCCTGCATTATCAGTAATCCATTTTGCAGTTGAAAAACTGGCTCGCCGAAGCTTGAGAAGACTTCGCTGTGTCCCTATACTTAGCAGAGGGGCCAGGCCAGGCCTTGGCCCATGTCTCTGCTGAGGTTAGCCTGCTTCCCTGTGTTGTCTCCAGCCCTGCTGTGGAATTCCTGCGGGTCATGCCTTGCAGGAACTCTGCGGTGTTCTTATTTGCCAAGAGGTCAACGAGGAGAAAGTAAACTTAAGCCTGTCACCACAGAACAATTCATCCTTCCTGGGAATCAGGAGGGTCTGGGTTGGAGGTCAGACTTTTTTTAGCTATTAGCTTGCATGACCATAGGCCAGTCATTTGACACTGAGCTTCTGTTTTCTTGACTACAACAAGAGGATGCTAGATTCAGTGAGTACCTCAGTTTGAATCCCAGACCTTGTGTTTGCTCTTTGTGTGGGCAAGTCACTTTATCTGTGGGCCTCAGTTTCTCCATCTGTTAAAGAGATGGTTGGACTAGACTTCCAGTTCTAAATTGGGGATCCTTATCAGTCAGTCAGCTAACATTTATTCAGTGCCTACTGTGTGCTAAATGTCAGGGATACAAAGAAAGGCAAAAGATTGCTAGTCCCTGCCCTCTGGGAGCTTACAGTTTGATAGGGGAGAAAACATGCAACCAAGATATTTACAAAGGTAAATTGGAGCCAAGGCTTTGGCGTTAAGGGGGATTTGGAAGAGGCTTCCTGTAAAAGGTGGGATTTGGGCTGAGACTTGAAGAAAGCCAGAAGGCAGAGAGGAGGAGGTAGACCGTTCCGTGTTCCAGACATGGGAGACAGCCGGTGCAAATGCTTAGAATCAGGAGTATCTTGTTCAGGGAGTAGAAAAGAGACCCGTGTCACTGGATAGAAGAGGGACCTGGACAAGAGGAAGGCAGAGGAAGGCTGTGCAGCTAGGAAAGGGCCAGGATATGGAGGGCTTTGACTGCCAGGTGATGTTCTATTTGGAGAGTTACTGAAGTTGATTAAGAGGGGTGCAGTGGAGAGGAGTGGCATGGTCAGAGCTGTGATTTAGGAGGATCGGCCGAATGGAGCTTGCATTGGAGTGGGGAGAGACTTGAGGCAGAGAGAAAAACCAGCAGGCTATTGGGAGAATCTGGGCATGAACTGATGGGGGGGGGGTAACACAGGGAGGGGGTGGCAGTGTCAGAGGAGAGAAGGGGGTAGACAGAAGAGATGTTATAAAGATGGAAATCACAGGACCAAGGCCTCTGATTGGGTGTGGGGGCTGAGAGTAGGATGAGTCAGGATGATTCCTAGTTTTTGAGCCTGGATGACTGGGAGGATGGTGGTACCTTTGACAGAAATAGGGAAGCAAAGAGGAGGGCTTGGGAGAGAAAGATGGTGAGTTTAATTTTGGATGCTTTGGGCTTAAGATTCGAGATGTCCAATAGGCAGGCGTGAAAGGCTGGAGGCCAGGAGATAGGCTCGACCTGGAAATAGAAACCTGAGAATCATTTGCACAAATGTAGATGTGCAAAATGGGATTGTAATACTTGAATATTATTGTCTTCAAAGGGTGTTGTGAGGAAGGGGCTTTACAGATAGATGGTAAAGGGCTGAAGAAATAGGAACCGTTTTTTTTCCAGATCTCTGAACTTGACAGACTTGATATAAAATTCCTGTTATCGGGAGAGATGGTTAAGGCCAGGCCAGGCTTGCCGTTTACTCAGTTCTTATTAAGAGTTTTTGAGGGGCAGCTAGGTGATGCAGTGGATAGAGCTCTGGCCTTGGCATCAGGAGGACCTGAGTTCAAATCCGACCTCAGACACATGACACTTGCTAGCTGTGTGACCCTGGGCAAGTCACTTAGCCCCGATTGCCTCACCAAAAAAAAAAAAGGCAAAAATAAAAAATGAGTATTTAGTTCATGAGGTCACTGCACAGCTTCCCCCTCTTCCCCCTCCCCTGGCCGTGCCCTCAGGTTGATGATACCTAGTGAGGGGGGAGGACTCAAGGGATTTTCCTTTGGAGATATTTGGGGGATGGGGAAATACAAACCAGGCTGCCCTTTTATAGGATTGAGAACTAACCAAGGACCTCAGGGGTCATCTAGTGTGATACCTGCATAGGCAAGATAGCACAGTGGATAGAGCACTGGGCCCAGAGACCTGAGTTCAGATTTGGCTCTAGGCATTTAGTTCTGTCACCCCGGACAAGTCACTTAACCTTTGTCTGCCTCAGTTTCCTCATCTGTAAAATGGGTATGACAATAGCACCTACCTCCCAGGGTTGTTATGAGGGTCAGTTGAGATAATATTTGTACAGTGGTTTGCAAAACTTAAAGTGCTACATAAATACTAGCTACTATTATTGTTATAACAGATGAGCGATTTGAGGCCAGAGAGGGGAAGTCCTTACTTCTGACACAGGAAGTAGTAAGAAACAGTGACCACTAGGGTGCCAGGTAAGGGGATCAGGCTGCAGATCCCTCGGGCACCGCCGTGAGACCAGGCCAGGTTGTCAAGGTGGGCTTGGAATAGTCTGCTTTTCCCTCTATTTTGCTTTTAGAGGGAAGGAAGGATAGTTTTAAGAAGAAAGGGATAAATAGTATCTCCAGTGGATCATAGAATTTTGGGACTTTACAGATCTAGTCCAGCCCCCTCCTTTTGCAGATGGGGAAACTGAGGCCCAGGGAGGGTGCAAGAATGTCCGTGTTACATAAAAGTCCTTGGCATTGCTGGAAAAAAGAACTCAGGGCTCTGGACTTCTTTCCAGACCAGGGCCCAGAATGGGTCTTAGGAGCTGGAACTGGAAGGTGCTGTGGAAGTCATTGAGTATAATCCAGAAAGGGGAAATAACTTACTTGGGTTCTAGCTCTAGTGAGTAGCGAAGCTGGAATTTGAACTCAGCTCCTCTTCATCCAGCCCCGGGCTCTTTTTCTGGTATCTGGCAGCCTCGGACATGTTAGTTTGCTTCTCCACAGGTGCTGTAGACGGCACCCCTAATCTAGGCCGTGTTGGTTACCCAGGAGACCTGGCAAAAGCGTGGGGAGGGCTGGGTGCAGGCTGGGTGCAGCCCGTCCCCCACTACGCATGGCACGTGGCCTATAGACTGTAAGGCTGAGACATCCCCTTTGTTTGTGTAAAGATAACAACATTCCTGCGATTGTTAATGTCTCTGTGCCTATCAGCTGGGGTAAACTGGTGGGGGCGGTGTGAGGTGCTGTATCCTCTGGTCTCAGGCTCTTCAGTCCACCCTCCTCCCTATCCCCTTTTCCAGGAGCTCAGCGCCCCATTCAGAGAGCTGCACCCCAGGCTTTGACTCAACTCCATACCTTGAACCTCCACTTGATCCCCCCATCTTCAGGCCTGGAGGCCCTTTGGCTGGGAGGAGAGAGGTTCTGTAGTACCTCCGAAAGTCCAGATTTTAGCCTAATTCACCTTCTTGAATTTCTTTGGGCCTTAATTCTGCCCTTTGGGGATATATGGAGATGGAAGGGCGTGGGCTCTGGGGTCAGGTCCTGTCAGGCTGGGGCCTGCCCCATCACTGTGAGAGTCATGGAGCGTGCAAGTGCTTTGAGCCGCCTAGAACTGTGTGGGAGGCGTGGTTTTACCACTATTGAGTATAGATAGAGATCAGAAAACCCCCAGGCTATAAGGGGCATGCGGTATGGGGTCTTCTTTCCAAAAACAATGTTTGAGGGGGAAGGGGAAATTCTAGGAGGCTCTTCTCGTGACCTGGACTCCTCCCCCTTCCTCACCTTACAGGGACAGAATCCTTTCGAGCTGGCCTTCGCCGTCAACCAGTCCAACCACCTGGAATCTGTCTTCAATTTTGAGTGCCCGACCCGCCCTGGTAAGCCCTAACATACCGGCCTTCTGTCCAATGGGCACGTGACCAGGGAGAACAGAGACAATTAGAGGGATGTGGGAACTGGGAGGGGAGTACCAGGGCCCAGGGAGGTGTTAGGCACAGCCAGGGACGTATAGCATCAGGGCCAGGGAATTTTGGTGCTAAGAGCACCGATGGGGATGGAGGGGGAGAAGCTGAAGGTCAGTATGGCTGGAGAAGCACCTGTCCCATGTTCCCCATTGATTTATATATCTATATATATCTATATCTATATCTATATATATATATATATATATATGTATATGTAGTTCTGACTGGGGAGTTGGAGGGGAGAGTCCTGGAGGAAAGGATTCTTAGCTCTGAAGCTTAGTTATGACAGTGGGTGGTAGCCTCTTTTCCTACCTTTCCTGACCTCTTGGGGAGGGCCTTCCTTTGACTCAGTCCCCGCCTTGCCCCACCCCCTCCTAAAAATAGCTGGTGAGTCCTAGGGTCCTGAGCTGTGGTGGCCCTTGCTGATGCCAGGTCCCTAGGGCAAGCTGGGGAAATCTCCAGATACGGGGAGATGCCTGAGATGGAGTCCTTTAAATAGGGCCTGGAGCCCCCATTTCCCTTACCCCAAGGCTAGAGGGGGAGGTCTGGGGTGGGGAGGGTGAGTCCTGACCGAGAAGAGCCGGCCTGTTTACCTCTGTGCCCCCCCCCCCCCCGCGGTTGGGGGTGTTCTGTGCCCCAGACATGCCCTCAAGCCAGCCCATCGACATCCCTGATGCTAAGAAGAGGAACAAGAAGAAGAAACGCTGCCGGGCCACAGACAGCTTCTCGGGGAGGTTTGAAGGTGGGGCGAGCCAGTCCCGGCAGGGCAGGGCAGGGTGGATGGATGTCTGTTGGGGCCAAGAATTCTGAGCCGGTGGTGAGAGGGGAGGGGAGGGGAGGGGAGGGGAGGGGAGGGGCTCCCTGAGAAAGGAAGAGAGGAGAATTTTAAGGAGGCCTCGCCAGCAGCGTCGGCAGTACCAGGCCTCCGGGGCAGCCGGTACCAACGTCCTTTCTCTCTCTCTCCCAGATGTTTACCAGTTGCAGGATGAAGTGCTGGGGGAAGGAGCCCATGCCCGAGTCCAGACGTGCATCAACCTCATTACGAACAAAGAGTATGCTGTGAAGGTGAGCCAGCTGCTGCCGCTGAGAGGGGGAGACGCGGTCAGAGTCCGGACAGGAGGGAGGCTGGGGGAGGAAGCCTGAGGTCCACCCTGGAGGTCACTCCAGGATAGCCCTGGTTCAAAAACCAGCAGAGTTGGCCCTTGGGAGGAGCAGTCTCAGTCTTGAGACCCTGTAGGATGACCTTGGGTGGGTAATGTCTTCTCCCTGGGCCTCAGTTTCCCGTTTTTAAAGTGAGGTTGGACTATGTATTGAGGGACCCTTTTAGATTTGGTGTGTTTGAGACAGGGTCTCTCTTTGGAGACCAGACACGGCCGCGCTCTGTGGCCAGCGTCTTTGGTGGAATGAGCCTTCTTAGTTACAGGTGTGCACCGCAGAGGCAGTTTCTTAGACCCATTGAGGATTTGGAGAGGAGTGGTTGGGGAGAGGCCTGGGTTTGGTCCAAACAGGAAAAAGTAGAAGTAAAATCCTGGAGTGAGAGGAAGGGAAGCCCTGTGTCTGAGAGCCACTACCACTGCTCCGCCGCTCCGTGTGATGCTTGGTCAGGAAACGGCAGGGGCCTGCTCTCTGAGCTGTCCTCTCCCAACCGTCCGGTGACTGGGCCTCCTTGGCTGAGACCCCTCTTCTGGGAATCCAGGTCACTGCACAGACCTTCATTACTGAGGGCTATTCACTGAACTGCTCAAGCCCTGAACTAATAATAACTGACCAGCTTCTGATTGGAGCCCCGAGGCTCTCTCCACAGGCTTGGGCTCAGCAGCTCAGATGGGGATGGGCATGGGCAGCCCTGGGGGAGCCCTCCACTGTCCAGCTTGCCCTTCCTTTTCTCTGTTCCTTTGAGCTCTCCCCATCTCCTTTCTTTACCTCTTCACTCTCCCTCTCTTCATCTCCTCACTCATCCTCACCCAGCTCCCTCTCTTCCTTCTTTCTCTACCTCTTTCTTCCTTTTCTCTGTCTCCCTTCCTTTCTCTCTGTCTCCCTTCCTTTCTCTGTCTCTGTTTCCCCTCCTTCCTCTCCCTCTCTCTCTTTTTCTTTCTCACCCCTCTCTGTCTCTCTCCCTCTTTTTCTTTCTCTCTCCCCTCCTCTCTCCCTCTCTCCCCTCTTTTCTGTCTGTCTCTCCCTCTCTTTTTCTTTCTCTCTCCCCTCCCCCTCCTTTCTCTCTGTCTCTCTCTCTCCTCCTATCTCTCTGTCTCCCTTTTTCTTTCTCTCTGCCCTCTTCTCTCTCTCCCTCTCTCTTTTTCTTTCTCTCTCCCTCTTTTTTCTTCTCTCTCCCTTCCCCCCCTCTTTCTCTCTCTCTGTCTCTCTCTCCCTCTCTCCCCTCCTTTCTGTCTCCTCTCTCTCTCTCTTTCCTTTCTTTCTCTTTCTCTCCACTTCTCTCTTTTCTGTTTTGATACCTCCTTTTCCCTCCCCCCTGACTTTTTTTTTTCTTTCTACATCTCCTCTCTCTTCCCATCTCCCATCTCATGAACAAGAGGAGTCGATTGTGAGGCCTCTGGCTAGAGTAAGGAACCATGGTCTGCAGTGGGCAAATAGCCTGAAGGGTCCCCCATCCATTGACCATAAGGGGCAGCTAGGTGGTATAGTGGTTAGAATACTAGGCCTGGACTCAGGAAGACCTGACTTCAAATCCTGCCTCACTTAATAGCGGTGTGACCCTGGTCAAGTCACTTAACCCCTCAGCCTCAGTTTCTTTGACTATAAAATGGGGATAATTATAGCACCCACCTCCCAAGTTTGTTGTGAAGCTCAAATGAGATTATAATTGTAAAGTACTTAACACAGTACCTGGCACATAGTAAGCACTATATAATGTTAGTTGTCATTATTCTTAGATAATATAATAAATCTAGGATCCATGGGTCCCAGAAAAGGGGAGGCAACATTTTCTGAGAGCCAAATGCAAAGGCATTGTACAGGCTTCTTGGGTTCCAGCCTCCTTGTTGTACAGATAGGAAAACTGAGGCCTGGAGAGGATAGGACTTTACCCAGATATCAGAGAGGAAGTGAGCAGCAAAGTCATTCACTGAGCCCAGCTCTTCAGACTTGAGTTTCCTTTATCTCTCCATAGCAACAGAAAGTGGGGGCATTGAAGGTCAGGTCCTCTATTCAGATCTGGGGAATACCCAGTCTGAAGAATAGGTTTTCTCTGAGTCTAAAATAGGCACACCTCTCCCTAGAGCAGCCAAGTAGCTGCAGATTGACTAGTTTGAATCTTGCTTGGACAGTGATGCAGGCAGAGTGGGTAAACTGAGGAAGACAAAAGCCTAATGCTTAGAGGCTTGCCAATTTGGCTGGTCCCCAAATCTGTACCGTACCTTCCTCAACCCCCTGAGGTAATAGGGAATTTGTTTTGAATCTGTATGTGCAGCAATTGGCTGGCTAAACACTAACATTGGATGGGTTGTGATTGCCAAGAAAGGGCTCTGAGTGAGAACCTCTGGGGAACCTTCTGGACTGCTAAGGTCCCGATGCTTTGGGAATGGACCTCCCTGTAGAAGGACCCAGCCTGTCTCTGTCCTGTCCCCTCCTGACTGGGGCCCAGGAGGGTCAGCTGGAAGGGATGGTGCCCAGCACATGGCAAGCACCTAATGAATGCTTATTGATTGGCTGGGCTCCTGTAGGGAGGGGGAAGGGAGGATTCCCAGAGACAGAAATGGGAAAGATCAGAGTGTCCCGTCCCCGTCCCTCCCACAGTCTACCCAGACCAGGGGTGGGGAACCTGGGGCCTTTGAGACCACATGTGGCCTTCTAGGTCCTTGGGTGCAGCTTTTTGTTTGAGTCCAAGTTTTACAGAACAAGTCATTTTATTAAGGGTAAATGTTCTGTTAAGTTTGGATTCAGTCAGAGGTCTGCACTTGAGGACCTAGAGGTCAACCTGTGGCCCCGAGGCTGTAGGTTCCCATCCCTGGCTGGGACCCTGCCTTGCCCTCCTCCTTCCATTCTTAGCCAGCACTGAGGCCTCTTCTGATGCCTACCTGGACTTGCTGTGTTTTAAAATGAGCCACAGGGCCCTTGGTCTCTGGCTGTGAAATTGTACTGGGCAGAATGGGAAACAGTGACCAAAGCAGCCGTCCCTTAAAGAGGCTTGCGTTATTTGAACTCTTCACTTCAGCTTGAGCCAGTGTCTGTCCCGCTCTCCCTCCCTCCTGTCCCTTTTTACCACGCCCGGGCATGAAGCCTCCATCACTTGTCCCTCTTCATGGGTGGGGGAGCATGTGTGGTTCTGTGCCCCTCCTTCACAAACACACACAGAGGGAGGAGAATGATACAGAAGCCCTACAGCTGTTGGGTCTTTTTAAGCCAGGTATAGGAAAACATCTTGCCCTCTATTCTCATGATGTATGTCCCTGAAGGGAGAGAGGAGAGATGTTAGTACCCCCCACACACACTTTTTCTTTTCTTTTCTTTTCTTTTTTTTTTTGCTGAGGTCATCAAGCAGCTTGCCCACCTTTTTATAACCAGGATTGGACCCACACCTAAGTCTCTAGCACAAGGTTACTCCTACTGCTCAGCCTAGCTCCTGGCTTCCTTTCCAGAAGCAGTGGGCTGGAGGGTGGGTGCTGAGCAGAGATGAGGATGTTCTGTGGAGACTCTGTCCCTTTAAGTGGCTTTCTCTGTCATAGGAGCTGGCCTAGGGGTAGAGGCCGGGCTGCCCACCCCCACCTCCTCTCCTCTATTGGTCGAAGAGCTTGACTTATGGTGGGGAGGGGGGACGGGACAGCTGGAGGATGGCAGCTGCGGGGTTAGCGCTCCCGGGGGAGCTTTCTTTACCCGGCAGGCTCTGCTATGAAAGGAACAAAGCTTCCTTTTGCCAAGTCCCCATCATGGCGAGATTTCTCTCTCTCTCTTTTTCCCCAACACCCCCCCCCCAATCTGTTTCAAGATGGATGGCCCAGTGATGGGGAGGGTGGTGCAGAGTTCTTTCAGGGAAAAGGGGAGCATGGGGAATACAAGGCTTCCCCTCCCCTTGATGAGAGGCCTAGAGCGGCCCACTATTAGAGAGGCTAGACAGAAACACTGCACACGTTTCTCCCCCACCCCACCCAGTCAAATACATGCACACATTCTCACGTTTCCCTGTGGGGAATCTCCATGGGAAGGGTGAGGATCTGTCAAGGACCAGCCACTGACTAGTGAATGGCTCTGTCCCTGCTGTGCTGGTTTGCACTTTGTTCCGGGAGGTGGAAGGATAGGGTGGTGGGGAGCGATAAGTATCTGCCTGTAGTCTTCTGGAGATGGGGGAGGAGAGGTCAGCACAGGTCCTGGGACTGATTAACTCCTGTAGAGGTTAGGGGAGAAAAGTGTCCTGCTGTTTTTCTCTGTGTATTGCTTTGGAAAACCCTTAGGATTTTTGTTCTGCCGCGCACTTCTGTCTGATACTTTATACTTAACCAGGCATCCTTATGGCATTGCTAGGTTTATGTCAGGGGGGTGGAGAACTTGGAGGTCCTGAGATCCGTGATTGTTCAAGGTCGCACAGACAGCAACAGAAACAGGGCTAAAGTGGATGTTTTCTGCCTGGTAACGAGCTTGGAGTCCACACTTAATTCTGAGACCCTGCCAGAACTCTCCCCTGGTCTCTTCATGGCTGTTTGTCTCTTATGGCCTCAGTTTCATCATCAGTAACATGGGGTCATGGCAGTTAGAATCTGAAAAGACCTCAGAAACAGAGGGTGTAATCATGTGGTCTTTAATTCCTGCGATTGTTTTGATGGAAATGCTTTGTAAACCTTAAACTGATTACGTGAGATAAATGTCCAGTTATTTGGTCATAGTAAAAACTCCCATCTCTGAAGCAGTTTCTTCATAGCAGCCCAGTAAAGCAGGGAGTATGTATCAGCTTATTTTACCAAAGAGAAAACTGAACTTCCCAGGTGGAATTCAATTCAACAAGTGTTTACTGTTGAGTCCAGCACTGTTCTAGGCTTTGGAGAGAGGAAGACCAAAACAAAACAGTCCTTCCCCTCAAGGAGCTTATATAGTCCACTTAAATAATGCCCAGAGCCAGGATTCAAGCTTAATAACAATAGCTGACATTGATAAAGTACCTACTGTGTGCCAGACAGTGAGCTAAGCACTTTACAAATATTATCTCTTTGGGTCCTGGGAACTACCCCTGGAGGTAGGTGCTTATATCATCCCCATTTTACAGATGAAGAGGCCAAGAGAAGTTAAGTAACTTGGCCAAGGTCACATAGCTAGTGTCTGACACTGGATTTGAGCTCAGGACTTGCTGATGGCCGGATCAGGGCTAAATTTTCCCCCCACCTCCAGCTGCCTGGGCCTTCTGCCTCCCAAGTCCTAAGTGCTGTTTGCATTTATGCCCCAGCCGCCTATCCAGGAACTTGATGTGGGTCCCATAGTGAAACGAGTGACATCTGGGCCTTCTTCGTCCTTCCACTAGCCAGCAGGAATAATCACAGTCACAATGACAGTAATAATAATAGCTAGCATTTACAGATCACGTTCTATCCCCAGGTTTGGAAAGGATGAGAGGAAGCCAGCATATGGAGCAGGGTTGGCTCTGGGCAAAAGCGTACAGTTTGGTGTTTGCCCTCCCCTGTTTAGGCCTGTCTTTGTCCCCTTCCCCCTTATCCGGGTGTCCAGAGGCCCAGCTTATCTTAAAGGGCTAGGAACTGAGACCTCCAGTCCACTTTCCCTGGAGATTTACATTTTAATAGAGAACTCTAAACATTTAGCTACAAAGTGATAAAGAATATTTGCATTTCCTGCCTGGTGTTGAGCGCCAGGTCTGAGGGCCCTTCTGCCTCTGAACCTCCCAGCTCCCCTAGCCCTCTTCCTGCCAGGCTGTTCTGGAGTCCTCTGGGCCCAGTGGGTAGCTCCTCTCTTGTTAGTAACTCCACCAGCCTTGCTCTTTTGCAGATCATTGAGAAGCGCCTGGGCCACATACGAAGTCGCGTGTTTCGGGAGGTAGAGATGTTGTACCAGTGCCAGGGACATCGGTAATGAATCCTTCCTTCCCTCTGCACCCTCGCCCCCATCTCTCTGCCTTGGGAGTCTCGGCTCTTGGCTTCTTCCTGCCGTCCTGTCCCATGTCCATACTGCGTTTCTGAGCTTGCCTATGGATAAAGGCCTTCAGTTCTCTGATGGAGGTCATTTTGACAGGCAAATAAGTCTAGTAAGGTCCACTCCTCCTCCCTCCCCTGTCCCCGGCCCCAACCCGGTGAGGCTGGCCTCTGCTGCATAGCCCCTTCCTCTAAAGTGGGAGGGAATTCAGATCCTCCTTCAGGGCCCAGGGCTGCCCATAAAAGATTGGAATGGGGGGATTGATCCTGAAGCACCTTCTCCTGCCCCCCCTTCCTCTTTTCCCCCAGAAATGTCCTTGAACTGATAGAGTTCTTTGAAGAAGAAGAGAGATTCTACTTGGTGTTTGAGAAGATGCGGGGTGGTAAGTATGAGGGGATTCTATGGGAGGCTGCGGGTACATGTCTAGGTTTTCCCCTGACTCCCATAGGGCATTAGCACACCGTTCTTCTCTCTTGTCTCCCCCACTCCCTAACTCCTGACACAAAAGACAAGTTAAAAAAAGACGATGAAAATCCGTGAAATTATGGATTTTAATGAAATCCAAAAAAATCCATGAAATTAAAGGAGAATGGAGATTCTTGAGAGGGCTCTCTTTAGCATCAGATTAGGAATGGATCCCCTTAGATACTCAGAAGGGATATTAAGAAAGAGATTGGGGCTGGACCTGGGATTTCATTAGTCTGGTACAGTGGTTCTCAAGCTTTTTGGTCTCAGGAGCCCTTTATTCTCTTGAAGATGATCAAGGACCCCCTCCCCCCAAGAGCTTTTGTTTTGGTGCATTTTATCTTAGTATTATTATGAAAATCATTTAAATCAATTAAATTTGAACTCGTCTCCCATATTGAGAACAGCTGTTCTGGGGCAGGAGTGTCAAACACTCAGCCCCCAATACTCTGGAATGAGGCCCAAACTAGGGTAAAATACCATTTGGAAATAGTTACCAAAATCAATAGGAATACAGTAAAATAGAGGTGGTGAGATGACATGTGGACTTCAGGGATCCTTCTCTACTTAGTGGCTTGGTGGCCCCTCCTCCTATTTGAGGTTGTTGCTCTGGCCTAAGGAACTCCTGAATGAGGGAATTCCGCAGAATGACGCAGGTAGCAGCACCTTCTTGGCGTCTTAGGGAATTGTCCGATTGAGCAAAGTGGTTTTGCCTTGGCAAGCGGTCGGGTGTCCTAAGAGGTGGGACTGGCTGGAAATAGGAACTAGTTCTGGCAGAGTTCAGAGAAATTCCCATGATAGACCCATAAAAAAGTCTCTAAGGGTGTTGGGTTTTTTTTTTGTTTGTTTGTTTGTTTTTTGAGGGATTCCAGATTCAGAGGTACAGGATCTTTGATTTAAAGGGAACTCTATGGGCATCTAGACAAAGTCAAACCAACAGACATTTGTGAAGTGTTTTCTGTGTGCCAGGCATAGGGCTTAGTGATGGGGATAAAAAAAAAAAAATCAGTCTCTGGCCTTAGGGAGCTTGTATACTAATGGAAGAAATGACATATAAATGATTGTATCTTCTCCAGAGGGGGCAATGGGTCAGGAAAGGCTTCTTGAAGAGTTCTGTATGTGTTCATGTGTGTATGGGTGGGGGAGATTTGAGCTGAGTCTGGAAGGAAATAGACCAACCAGTCCCTGGATTGCCTGAAGGTCCCTTTTTCGGTATACCCAAGGGTGGTTACCTAACCTTTACCTGGAGACTTCCAGGGAGGGGAGGATCTTGCTACCTGTTGCAGCAGCAGGCTGCACTCACAGAGTTCTCTGGTTGAGAAGTTCTCACTGAGGTCAAGCCTAAATTGATCTCTTTGCCCCTTTTTCCTGGTGCATGTTGGAAGAGAGGCAAGCCAGGAGTGGGAGAAGGGTGTCTGTAGTTGGGATTACACACCCGGTTTTGAGTCTCAGAGCTGCTGATGGTCTCTGTGACCCCGGACAAGTCACTGCTTGTCTTATAAAAGAGGAAGGGCAGGGGTGCCCCCTCGCCTCCATGCCGGTGTGGTTGGGAGGCAGGTGTGGGGGGCGGTGAACTGTGAAGTGCTGTGGGTATGAGGCATGGTCCCCATGATGGTAAAAGCCCCCTGCCCCAGAGCCAGGAGATGCAGGAGGCAGGCTCGGTCACCCTTCTCGGCAGCATCCCTTGATGCAGTGTGTTTTAGTGGAAAGAGCACTAAACTCGGTGTCAGAGGGAGCCTGGCTCCTCGTTAACTGGGTAACTTCTATGCAAGCCGGCGCTCTGAGCCTTGGTTCTCTCCTCTGAAAACAGGGATGGTCACCCTTGCACTGTCTGCCTCCTTGGGTGGTTGTGAGGAAAGCCAATAGAAACATGTTGGAAGCATACCAACAGAGCCTTATAAAGGTGGCAGCGCCGGGGTCCTCCCTTTCCAGGGTTCTGTGTGGGGTGGGGATGAGGCTGGCCCTCCCCCATGACCTGTGCCTTACCCACCTCTTCCCCTCTGCCCCTCCCCCGGCAGGCTCCATCCTCTCTCATATCCATCAACGACGTCATTTCAACGAGCTTGAGGCCAGCATGGTGGTCCAGGACATTGCCAGCGCCCTTGACTTCTTGCACAATAAAGGTGGGCAATGTCGGGGTATAAGGGGAAGGGACTTGGGAGAGAAGCGGAGGATTGGGCCAGAAGCCTGGGCCCCCTCCCTCTCTCTCCTCCCCTTTCTCCCACCCTACCCCCTCCCCGCACCAGCTACATGGCTCTCTGCTTCCTGCTGGGGACCCCCTTCCCACCCCCTAAAACGAGGGAGCCTCAACACCTTGGGCCTTCTGAGAAAACCTGGGTTCTGCTGGCCCCATCCTCCCTCCCCTGACTCCAGTGCCCTCCCCCGCCCTCTTGACATTGCCTCTGCTGTCTGGCTTTCCCCCAGGGATTGCACACAGGGATCTTAAACCTGAAAACATCCTCTGTGAAAATCCTGACCAGGTGAGGAGAGGCTCCTGAGAGGAGCGGCCAAGAAGCTTGGTACCTGGGGGGAGGGGAGCAGTGGGCCCCTTGGGATGCAGACTTTAGAGCAGGGGCATTTGGGGGTAAGTTCAGAGACCCAAGTCCCCAGCTCTGCTGCTGACTCAGAAGCACACACCCTCAGAGGTGGGAAGGCCCTTAACAATCACCTGGTCCAAGGGCCTCCTTTGGGTCCGGGAACCCTTTGGCAGCACACCTGGGGAGGCCTGCCCCTTCTCAGAATCCCCTTTTTTTTATGCATAAAATAAAAAACAAACGATTACAAGTGATATCGAAATGCACTTATAAAGATACTGAAAATGAATTTAATAAATTTTTAAAAGATATTCAAAATAAATATATTTAAAATACAAGTTCACAGACCCCGTGGAATCTCATGATGGACCCCTTGGGGGATCTGGGGACCATTGTGTAAGTGTCCCTGATACAGTCCAGCCCCCCCTTATTTTACACAGGCGAAAGCTAGAGCTCAGAGCAGTGAGGAGGCTTGAACGTAGTAGGTTTTAGGACTCCCCGTTGCGTGCTCTTTCCATTCTAACATTCTGTTCCTGTAGCTAGCTCACAGTGTGAGTGCTCGGGTGCTACTTTCCATCAGGTCTTTGTTTCTCCATCTGTAAAATGGGGGTGTGTGTGATGCCCTCTGTCAGAGCCCTCTGAGGACACTGTCTAAAAGTACTCTCCTACTCTGAGGGGTTCTGGGCCAGGTCGAGGTGCTCAAGGAAAGGAGAGTGAGGCAGAGAGGTGCAGGCAGGCAGGAACTAACAGGAAATAAGTATCCCCAGTCATGGTGTCAGGGCTGTGTAGCAAGCCTGCCTGTGGCCTTGGGGGCCTGCCCTCACTTTGCTTGGGGAGTTGAGCCTTTGTGAGGCTGCCCTGGCCAGCAGGACACCACCTCCTCTATTTCTTGGCTCCCTGGGCCTGGCTTCTCACTAGGTGCCAGAGGTCAGCCGGCTATAACCGGACAGGGTCTGGGATAGGGAGGGGCAGTGATTTAGAAGGAAAAAATGACAGACTTGGGAGTCCTGAGATCTGGGGTCAGATCCCACCTCTGACACTCACTAGCTGGGTAGCCCTGGGCAAATCCCTTGAGCTTTCTGCCTTGGTTTCCCCACTTGTAACATAGGAACGACCATATCTGCATGCCCTCCCTTCCCAGGGTGGATGTGGGGAAAGTCCTTGAAGGTCTGATGAGTGTGCTTAGAAGGGGGGGGTATTCACGGTGGGCTGGGCACCTGCCTGTCTCCCACTTCCCGCTCCTCCCGCCAGGTTTCTCCAGTCAAGATCTGCGACTTTGACCTTGGCAGTGGCATTAAGCTCAATGGTGACTGCTCTCCCATCTCCACCCCAGAGCTGCTCACACCGGTAAGTCTTGCTCACCACTGACCCTGCTCAGGTTCCCAGAGGTGGAGGTGAGAGTTCATTGCCTCTTGGCCCCAGGCCTGCCCTTGAGGAGTGCCCTCTGCTGGCCTATGCAGCGGTGAGGTTGGGAGGCAAGTGCCCACCCTGGGCTGAGGGGTTAGGAAACCCTCTACTGTGCCTCTCTTTCCCTCCATTGCCCTGGCAGCCTGCGGTGTGCTTCTGGAGAGAGAGGGAGCCAGGGATGATGTGGATTTGAGGTGAGCAGGCCAGTACCCTGAGGTCGAGGTGACTGTAGCTCTAAGCTGGCTGGCTATCTGTGCCTGGAAGCGATGACCGCTGAGTTTTAAGGGACTGGGTGGATCAGGATTCACTGGGGGTGCTTTGTCCCGGGCTCCCCGGGGAGCTGCTCCTCCTGGGCTGTCCCGGTGGAATGCTGGGCTGAGCACTACCCTTTTCCTTTTTTCTCTGGGGCTGTAACTCGCCCTGCCCCCACGGGCCCCAGAGTTACATAACACCCCCATTCCTGGTTGGTCTGGAGTGGAGCCCAGCAGCACTGGGAGGAGCCAGAGGGAGAGAGCTTAGGGCTCGCCTTAGCAACAGCCGCTCTGATTGGGTGAGAGGGTGGGGCCCTACGCTCAGGGCACCCAGAAATGGGTCAGACGAGGCTTGGGCAAAGGAAGAGAGGAGGGGCTTCGAGGCGCGGGGGCGGGGGCCCCCCCCCCCCCCCCCCCCCCCCCCCCGTGCACATATGTGTGTTGTGGTGTTGAGAACCAGAGATGGGTGGGACTTCGGAGGGAGGACGCAGGCTGTGGTTGGCTGTGTGTCTCCTAACCCTTCGGTCCTGTGAAATCCCTGCCCACCAGCCACTTGGCACCCTGTCAGTCCCATTCTGCCCCACTCTTTGGTTAAAGTCAGATTTTGGGGGTTGTCCCTGCTTGCCCCCCAGCGCCAGTAGCCTCTGACCTGACCTCTTACCCTGGCCTTCCTGGGGACAACAGAAGCAGGAGAGTAGCCCCCAGAGAGCTCCCTGGCTGTGCCTTACCAAGCTATGGCACCCATTTGGGGCACAGCAGGCACATGGTTTCACAAAAGATTTACTGGGTGCGCCTTCTGGTGCTAATTCTCAGGCCAAGGTAGTCACTGGACAGAGTCCTTTCTTGAGAAGGGGACAGCCTCACTCGTGCAGGGTGTGCAGGGGCCAAGGAGGGAGCTAACCTTCCCATATCTAGCCCCTCCTGCCTGGCCCTTCCTGCCCCTCCCCAAGGCGGAATCCTTGGCTAGAAGCCCAGTCTGGGCGGAGAAGGAGCTGATGCAACCCTGTCCTGCTGGGTGGGGAAGGTGAGGCTCCCAGCTGGGGCCACCCTCCATCCCCCATGCGGCTGGGCCTGGCTTCTCAGACAACCTTCCCCTCTCCGGCACAAAGTTGTGCTTTGTCTCGCAGAGCGGGGGCTGTCTGGGTGTAGAAGTCGGGGAGAGCTGCCCAGCCCCCCTCTTCTCCCCATCAAGCTTCCTGTCTCTGGTGCACAGAGGGCCTCCCTCTTCCCCTCCCCCACAGCTCTGGGGAGGCTGGAAAGTCCCCGTGGCTGGCTAGCTAGCTAGTGCTCTGTGCCTTAACCCCTTCTGCACCCGGTGGCTGCCAGTGAAAGGGACTTTCAATATCAGACCCTTCTGGCTGTGTGTCAAGCACGTCACTCGCCTCTCTGGGCTCCAGTTTCCTTGTCTGTAAAATGAGGGGGTGGGCAGTTAGATTTGATGGTGTCTGAGGTCCCTTGCAGCTCTGCCTTTGATTCGGTGCTCTCCAGAATAATTCCTTCCTTAGTCAGGCAGTTGATTAAGCCCCTGGTATACACCAGGCACCTTGCAAAGTGCTGGGGGTACAAAGAAAGGCAAAAAATCATCCCTCTGCTTTCAGGAAGCTCCCATTCTATGTACCAGTACAGTAAGCCACAAGCAGGAGAAATGGGAGATCATCCACAGAGGGAAGGCACCGGCACGCAGACGAGGCTGGAGAGGCTTCCTTGGTGGGGGGGGCGTCGCTGGGCCTCGAAGGAAGCCAGGAGGCCGAGATGACGAGGGAATGGGGGACACGGAGAAAATGCCTGGGAGTCAGGATCGCTTTAGTGAAGACTCTTAAACCCCAGGAGGTTATATGGCAAAGCCAGCCAGGCTCACGCTGAAAACAACTGGTGATGCTAGAATGGAAGAGAAACACAGATGATCACAGTTGTAGTAGCTAGCATTGACATAGCATTTTAAGGCCAGCAAAGACCTCTACAGGTGGTATCTAATTTAATCTCCTGACTCCCAAGTCAGTGATCTTTGTGGTGCGGTCCCCCGTCTTTGAGTTCCCCATGACAGACTCCTGTGAATGGCATACCAAAAGCCAGGACCTGTTTGTTTTGTTTTGGAGGCAATTGGGGTTAAGTGACTTGCCCAGGGTCACACAGCTAGTAAGTGTCTGAGGTCACATTTGAACTCAGGTCCTCTTCACTCTAGGTCCGGCACTCTTATCTACTGCGCCACCTAGCTGCCCCTCCAGGACCTGTTGGAAGGGTGTCTGGACCCTTGCCCTGTCCCTGGCCTTCATCTCTATTGGCTTCTGCTGGGCCTTAGAAAAGTCGTAGGGACTGACCTCTTCTTTCCCCACTTCTCCCGGGCTTCCTGCTCCCCCAGTTCTCCTGCATTATGGTAAGGGCAAGGCAAAAGGCGTGTGCCAGCCTGCAGGCTCTTGATGCCCTGGCCAGTTTGTGAGCTAGTGGGTAAAAGGGAACCGGGGGATTGGTGGTAGGGGGAGACTAGAAGGGTAAGGAAGAAAGAGGCAGAGAAAAAGACTTCTGTGTCTTTGGCTGGTCCTGGGGAAGAGGAAAGGAGGCTGGGCTAGGCCTCCCTCTCTGATGTTCTTTTTGGTTCCTGTGATTCCAAGCACAGTCTGGGAACGGTCTTGAGCAGCATTCAAAGGGAGGCCGGAGCACCCCATGATTAGACGGTCTGTGAGCACCCCAGGGCAGGGCTTTTGCCTTCCTTTGGATCCCCAGTGCTTGAGACGGTGCCTGGCACACAGGAGGCAGTTAAGAGATGCCTGTACTGTTGTCCTCCCAAGCTGTGAAGGGGCATACCCAAGGGCCAGGGGTAACAAGGAATAGAAGCGAGATTCAAACCCAGGTCCTTGTATTCCCAAGTCCAGGCCTCCTGCCTCCTGTGGCCCCACAGGAGGACGTGGGGCCCTATGCGAGGTCATATGTCGGTTTAGTGCCCCAGGGATGGGGCATCTTGGCTGGGGGAGTCACCCTAACTACATGGAATGGGGTTAGGCAAATCCTTGGCGGGCAGCCCGTTTACCTTCTCATTGGAGAGAGAGAGAGAGAGAGAGAGAACTACAGCCACATTCCTGTGGAACCACAGCCTCTTTTTCCATTTTGGAAGGGAGGCTCACGCCCCCAGGCAAGAGTCCTGACTCTGGGCAGACCTGGCTGGGTGGCTGGCGTGGGTGGGGCTCAGATGAAAGTGGATATGAGAGACAGAAGATCACAGGATAGAGTTGGAAGGGACCTTGAAGGCCGTGACGTCTGATCCCCTCTGTTTGACAGAGGAAGAAAACAGGCTTTGCTGTAGTACTTTAAAGCATGCAAAGTGGTCCACATGCATTGTTAACTCATCTATTTGAGCCTCACAGCCGTCCTCTGAAATAGTTACAAGTGTTAACCTCATTTCATAGATTGAGGAAACTGAGGCTCAATCAATGAGTCAATCTACAAACATTCACTCAGTTCAGAGACCTTGGTTTCAAACCATGCCTCTTAGTAGCTGTGTGACCCTGGGCAAACCACTTAACCTCTGCCTTAGTTTCCTCATCTGTAAAATGGGGATCATAACAACCCCTCCCTCCTAGGATTGTCATCATCATAAAAAAAGATAATGTGCATAAAGTTGTTGTGTAGACAAAGTACTGTGTACACGCCAGCTTCTGTTGTCATAATTGTGATCATAAAATTGAGGAGGTTGGATCAGAGATTATTTCCAAGGTCTTCCCAGATGAGGAAACTGAGGTCCAGAGAGGAAACATGATATGCCCAACAGCCACCCAGGAGAATTCAGACCCAGGTCCTCTTGCTTCCACACCAGCACTCTCTCCGTGGGACCCTTGGGCCTTCTCACCCCACAGCTCCTTGGCCCGGCATTTGAGGCTTTGACCAGTCTGGACTTGACTGTCCAATGTAGCTGATCAACCTTCCAGTGGATTGTCTTCTGGGTACATGGGCTGCCTATTCTCGACCTGCTCCTCCTCCCTTTTTCTCTCTGTTTATCTTAATTATTTTTAATTGCTGTCCCCTCTGAGAAGTCCTCCCTGACTACCCCATAGCTCCTGATGCCCTCCTGAAGCACAGGCTGTGCCAGGCCCTGGGCCCTTGGCACCCCCGGCCTGAGATCGTGGGTCCCCTCTTTCTCTGTGCGTCCTTTCTCTGGACCTGTGTAGGACGAGCTGTCTGGGGCTTGTCCCTGCAGGGTAGTCTAGGGAACCCAAAGTGAGCACATTCAGGAGAGCTCAAACCCCACGTTGGCTGCCTGCCGTCGGTGTTAGCCCGTCCTCTGAAAATGAAGGGGCTGAATCTGATTGCCGCCACAGCCCGCCCGGCACCAAATTCTGAGCACCCTCCACGTCCCCTGTGCCGCGCACTCCACGGGTCTTCGTCCCGTGTTTGCTGCTCTCCCAGCGGCCGGTTCTAACCCTGCCCCCTCCCTGCTCCCTCCTAGTGTGGCTCTGCAGAGTACATGGCCCCCGAGGTGGTGGAAGCTTTCAACGAGGAGGCCACCATCTATGACAAACGGTGTGACCTCTGGAGCCTTGGGGTCATCCTCTACATCCTGCTCAGTGGCTACCCGCCATTCGTGGGCCACTGCGGCAGCGACTGCGGCTGGGACCGGGGTGAAGCTTGCCACACCTGCCAGGTAGGGGTCCTGGGGCGGCCCGGCCCGCCCTGGCATCTCTTTGGTGCTCGCTGGGTTTCTGAACTGCTTACCCCCTGCTTCTCCCTCTGATCATCATGGATTTCGATGGTTAAGAAGTTCGGGGGAGCCAGAATTGACCCTCTATGACTTTTCTCATCCCTCTCACATTTTCCAAGTTTCGTCCTCTGGGACCGAGCAGAGATCTGTTCTCTTGGCCCTGTAAATGCTATTTCACAGAATGCCCGTACTAGAACGGTCCTGTGCAGCTATTCTCATCCCACCTTTCATGTGACACAGAAGGACCCTGGGACCAAGAGAGCTGGCCATTCACACACGGCTCCCGAGCTGGGATTGAAATCCCAGCCTCCTTCACCCACAGGATGCCTCCCACCACTGCGGGGATCAGAGACAGAGACAGAGACACACACTTACATACATGCACACTCGGGGCGAGAGAGAGAGGGATCACGTCCCCTACTTCTTCCCCAGCTCCCTCAACTATCCCCAGTGACACGTACGGTGTCCAGACCTCTCGTGGCGTCCGCAGCAGGGGTGCGGGTCGGGGACTAGGGTTCTTAAAGTCAATCATTCCTCAACTAACCTGGTCTGGCCCTCCCCCCAGAACATGCTTTTTGAGAGCATCCAGGCAGGCAAGTACGAATTCCCCGACAAGGATTGGGCCCATATCTCCTTTGGAGCCAAAGACCTCATCTCCAAGCTGCTCGTCCGGGATGCCAAGAAGCGGCTAAGTGCGGCCCAGGTCCTGCAGCACCCCTGGGTGCAGGGGGTAAGTGTCACTGGGGCTGGGGAGTATCCAAGTCTGCTCCTTGGGGTCTCCGTGGTGATGTGTTTGAACTTGAAGAAGGAGGGGGAAGGGTCACTACCCTCTGAGTCCTTAAGGGGACAAAGGTGGGGGTTTCTCAACCCTGGGTTTTACTCGAGGCGTCAAAAAATTACAGAATGTGAGACCAGGAAGACACCTTTTCAGATGAAGGGAACTGAGCCCCTGAGAGCTCGTGACTGATGATAAAACTGGGAAAATCAGAATAATGGGACACCGTGAGCTGGTCTGACGTAGTAATGGGTAATAATAAGTCCTCGTGTTTCTACAGTATTCTCAGGTTTACAGTAGCCCTGTGAAGTAGGTAGTATGAGTGTCCCCATTTTACAGATGAGGAAAATTGTGACTCACATTCTGTGGTCCTAAAGCTATCGAGAAGTCAGGATGAGACTTCCACACGTGTCGCCTGCCTCCAAACCCGGTGCTCTTCCCACAATTCTGTGCCAACTCTTAAACTTTACAGGAGGAAGGGACCTTAGAAAGGTCATCTCATATCCCTCTTACTTTACAGATTAGGAAACTGAGGTCCATTGAAGCCACCTGGCTGGAGCCTTTCAGGGAGTAGATAGATGGCCATCGCTCAGTTTAATTCAACAGACAGTGATTGGCTTGGTGGGGGGAGGGGAGGTTCTACCAGAGTCTCTTCCATTAGATGGTGAGCTCCTTGGGAGCAGGGAAGCTTGTTTTGCCGGGTGCTTAGCACGGTGCTTGGCACAGAGGATGCTCTTAATAGATGCTAGCTAGTGGACATGAATTTGACCTCTGTTGGGGCTACAGGAGGCGGAGAGACAATGGTGCCGTGAAGCAGATTATTGTGTGTTGGAAGTTAGATCTTTAAGACTGAGACGCACACGAAGTGCCGCAGAGAAAGATGGGGTGGAGGTCACCACCAGCTGCTGGAGCCTGGGGTGTGGGCGGGGTGTGAGGAAGATTTCTTGGAAGGTTTTTCACAGATGTAAGTGAGCATCTGAGAGGGAAGGAACCTCAGGATATCTAGTCTAGCTCATACCTGGTCAAGAATTTCCCCTGTAATGAGTAATCCTCCAGACCTTGCTTGATGACCTCTCATGAGAGGAGACTGCCCAAGGACTCCCTCCCACTTTGGGGTAGCTGCAGTTAAGCTTAGATCTGCCTCTTGGCGTTTTCTACCCCCTCCTCCTCCTCACTGTCCTCTGGACGCTGGAAGAAAGGCAGCCCCAAAAGCTAGTGCATTCCCCAACTGCACAGGGACGTGACAGACAGTCAGACCGTCAGACCTGGTATCAACTACCGGGCACCCTTGGAATCCTGGGGTTCTTAACCTTGTGTTTGTCCTGGACTCTTTTAGCAGTCTGGAAAAGCCTGCGGACCCCTTTTCAATACGTAAAATGAAATACAAAGGATTATGAAGGAACCCAATTATATTGACACAAAGATTATCATTTGTTTTTCCATTCAGGTGTGTTTGACTCCTTGCCTGTACGGCCTCTTTAGATCTTGACATAGCGCTAGTCCAGTCCCGCCATGTTACAGAGGAAGAAACAGAGACTTCGGTCAAATGACTTGCCCGGGATCGCACAGATAATTAAGTGTCAGAGTTAGGATTTGGGTCCAAGCCTAGACCGATATTCGGCCTACTTCACCATGCTGAGTAGTTAAGAGACATCAGAGGAGAGAAACAGTTAACAGTAACGTCTCTGAAGTAGAGAGACCTGTCCAGAAGGAGGGAGAGAGAGAACATAAGGAAGGTCTCCTGGCTTCCACAGGCCAGAGAGGCCCACTGTCCTAGGCTGCCTGTGAACAAGAGGCTCCTCCATTCCTGTGCCAGGGGCCATGAAGAAGGAGAAGGCTCAGTCCCTGCAGATAAACGTCTGTTTGGAGGAGATAAGGCAAATAAACATAGGAAAAGAACTAATAATCCTCGGTCATATTTGCTCAGGGCTGAATGAGTGGGGTGCATAGATAGCTCTAGAGAAATTCATGGGGTTGGGAAACTGGGGAGTGGTGAGGGTTGGCCGAGGTGATCCGGGACGGTCTGTTGGACTCGGGCTGTCCTTGGGGTCTGAGCACAGCGTGGAAAGGAGAAAGGGAGAAGCTAGCGATCTCCCTCAGATTTTGTGGCTTTCCATGACGACCAAGTGCCAGGCTGGTCTAGAATGGTGGTGGTGCACAAAGCTTGCATGTCTCTTTAAAAACTACTTGTTGAAGGAGAGATTGGATAGGTGAGGTGGGAATAGAGAAGGCCCCAAAGCTGTCAAAAGGTTTGAATGAGAACGATCCATACATCAGAGATTCAGAGCTGGAAATTTCCTCAGTGGTCATCAAATCCACCTCCTTCATTTTACATGTGAGGAAGCTGAGGTCCAGAGTGGTTAAATGATGTCCCCTGGGTCAGACAACTGAGTGTCTGAGGTAGTATTCAAATTTAGATCTTCCTGAATTCAAGTGTATCCGCCCTACATCAAGCTAGAAAGTACCTTAGGAGTTCAAAGAAGGAAACAGAGGCTCAGCTGATTTGCCTAAAGTCACAGAGGTATAGAATAAGTTTTATAATTATTGGTCAAAATGGAGGCTGCCTTCCTAATAGGAGACCTTAAAAAAAGAAGAAAAATGAATGTATATGTGGAAAAATCTATTACACATAACCCCCACCCAAATTTGGGAGCAGGTCCAAACAACATTGAGATGTCCTGGAAATGAAGTTATTCTTCACCCCATTATACATCCTCATGGTGATTTTAGTTGGTTTTTGGGACCTCGTTATACCTTGGGAAGCTTACTTCCAGTCCCCACTCCGTCCATCTCTTTGTCCATTGCAAGCTGGTGGAGTCTGACTTCCTTGTCTGACCTAGAACAAGTGGCATGACCGCTTTGTGCCTCAGTGTCGACATCTGTCATGTAAATTTATTCTTTACATTTACAATATTTATAATACATTGTTTACATTTATTGCATATATTATTTACATTTAATATGTATTAATTTAAGTCTAGGAACAGATGTAATTTATTCCTGGTGACTTTGTACAGGTTGCCTCAGTTTCCTCATCTGTTTGTTCTTTTCTTTAATGAGAAGATTGAACTAGATGATCTCTTAGGATCCCTCCTGGGTCTAGCATTCTATGAATCTAAAGCATTCCTGGCTTCAGAAATGTTAGGAAGTGCTGCCATCAGGGAAAATGCCTTTGTTTCCCTACGCTAATGATGATGGCGTTCATCCTTTACGCGTGCACGTTAACTCGGCTTCTTTCTAAATTGCTCTCCAATGCATTTTCTCATTGGATTTCCATTGCCCTTGTAAGAGAGGTGGGTGGTGATGTCCAGGGTCTTCGCTTCCCAGGTGAGAAGGGACTGACACCCAGAGAAGCGGAGGGCCTGGCCCAAGGCCACAGGAGTGTTGGCGGCAAAGGTCATCATCATAACCTTTATACGCACACTCCTTTGTGATTCACAGAGTGCTTTGTAGCTATCTGCTTCTCTTAGCCCAACTCTACAGATGAGGAAAACGAGAGAGCAAAGGGAAGGAATCTGTCTGTCCAAGGTGACAGAACTACTAAATGGCAGGGTCAGGATTAGAATTTTCTCAGGCATAAATTGGGTTACGTTCTTCTCACTGAAGCTCCTAGGGGCCCTCCGTTCCTTCCTAAGGAAAATACCCCTTCCCTAGCTCAGCAGTGAAGGACCTCTGGGTCTTGGGACTACACATCCAAGTTGGGCATAGGGTCCCAGCCGCCTTCTCGTGGCTGAGGATGCAGAACCACCCTGTAACCGTAACAGGAGTGACCGAGGCCCTCAGCTCGCCACCAGCCTGGCCCGTGACTAATGAAGGTGCTGTGTTCTCATTGCAGTGTGCTCCGGATAACACCTTTCCCACTCCGATAATCCTGCAGAGGTGAGGCATCCCCCCTCCACCCCACCCCCAGCTTTCAGTCTTCCTCTAGAGAGGAGCTTATGGTTCTAGGCCTGGCAAGGGAACGAGGCCATCCTTAGTTGGACTAACCCCAGAGGTTTGGGGACAGAAGATGCTGGCTCGTCCGATGCAGATCTTAAAAAGGCTTTGTCCTGGTTAGAATTGAGACCTAAATTGGTGAGGCAGCAGTTCAATATTCCTGTCGGCCAGCTTAGCCCGGTGGTTATCGCCCTGAAGCAACGGTCTTGAGTGCGTGGGATTGTGACTTTCACTTTGTTTTCTGGCCTCATATCTGGACCCCTGTCCCAGCTCCTTTTTTGATATGTCATCTGGGTTTTGAGGAAATGTAGGCGGGAATTACTCCCTGCCATCATTCCTCCTAGAATTGCATCCTTCCCTCCCCCCAGTAAAACCCCACAATTCTAGTAGTAGAGGGCTGGTAATGGGAGGCAGCAGGGGTTGTTGAGTTGACCTTGACTCTTTTCTCCCTTCCTTTCATCCCCAAGAAACAGCAGTGCCAAAGAACTCACCTCCTTCGCGGCAGAGGCGATCGCCGTGAACCGCCAGCTGGCCCAGCGTGAAGAAGACGAGGAGGAGGAAGAGAATCGACCAATCGTCATCAAAGCTACCTCATGTTCCATGCAGCTGTCGCCACCATCCAAGTCAAAGCTGGCCCAGCGGCGGCAGAAGGCCAGCCTGTCCAAGGCCCCGCCAGCCCCCCAGCACCTGGTCAGCCCCTTGGTCCTGGTCAGCGACCACATGTAACGGCCCCAGCCAGGTCCCCCTCCAGCCCCTGCTGTGCGTTCATCCTGTCGGGGTTCGCTGGGGTTGGGTTTGGTTTTTTAAGCTGTTGCCAGCCGGCGATCACTCCCTCCTCTGGCTGGTTTCCAGGGAGTTCAGCTGACCTTGGGAGTAGTTTTTTTTTTTTTTATAAACATTTTTTAAATGATCTAATGGTATTTACCAACAAAGCAAGAATGCGGCACACACCCCAGGCACGCTTAAAGGGCGTGTAGCACACTGACGTTTGTGGGTCCTTTTTTGTTGTTGGGGGTCCCCTCCCTTCCTACGCCAAAGGATGCGCTGTAAGCTCAGCTCACCCCATACTGTGAAAGACGGTCAGTCAGTTGTGTGAAGAGGTGCGTGGTTCTCCATCCCCTGCCCCGTCCCCCACCCTTACCTTTCCCTTGCCCGCCTTCCAGATGGAGTATAAAGAATCAGCTCAGGAGTTGGAAGGCCTGTTTTCCCAACGCCAGAAGCCTCTAAGCCTTCCAGAGCAGGTGATGGGCCCCTGGTGGTGGGGGGAGAAGGGAGGAATGTTCTCCCTTCCCCACCACCCCCTGCCACTGCATATATGCATTTTTTCTATATATGTGTATACATATGCATTTTATACATATGTATATATGATATATAAAAATTTATTTTGCATTTATCCAGCCCCATGGGAAATTCTCAGTATTCTAAGGAAGTTTTCCCCACCTGGCCTGGGTACACTGTTGAGAAAGGAGTGTGTCCATGCCTAAGCTCCAGGTGAAATGTTGACCCACTCCAGATAGAATAGCCTTCCTCCCCTCTCGTGTCCTTCCCTCCCCCAGCCCCAAGCTCTCCTTTTGGGGTCCTGCTTGGAGGATGAGTTTAGCCCATCTGGACACATTGGCCTTGGAGCAGTAGGATCCGGGAGAATGACGTCCTGCATGCCCAAGCTGGGCCGCTCCTATGGGGCTTTCCTTTCCCCCGGCTCCCTCCCTCCCTCCCTCCTCCCTTCTCCATCCCACCCCATCACTGACTGGCCAGAATGTAGTCTAAGAGCAGGGTAGTGGCTGGCTTTCTCCCTTTTTCATCCCCAACAGGCAAAACTCCTCTCCCTCCTCTTCCCCCATCTCCTGGGGCAGACAATCTGGGTCCTCTGCAAATTCCCTTTTATTTTTTTTTTCCCTGGGACCCTGTTACATATTGGTCTCCCTGGGGGAAGCAAGTGTACCTGACTGCTGGTGATGGGGATGAGACCCTGCTGGCAGGTGCTGGGATCCTGGGCTTTGGTCTGGCCATAAAAATACGGGTGATTCCCATGTCCCAGGCAGGGAGGAAGGAGGAGAGCTGGCTTCCCCATGTTCCCTGGGGTTCTTGTTGGCAGCTCCTGAGGTGGGGGTGTGTGCTACTATGGTACCTGGGTGGGGCAGCCCCACCCCTATCCCCCACACCCTGGTCAAACTTGTGCCAACCTTTGGTAGGACAGCAGAGAACGGGGGTGGGGGGTGGGGGGGGGTGGTCAGGAACAAGGGGGAAGCTTATTCACCTGTGTTAGCTGGACCAGGCTGCTCAGGTGCCTAGAGCATGGGCCCCTGGGCCTACTGTGCCCATTTTCAGGGCTCAGGACGAGTGGGGCAATGACATGCCCACTGCCTTCCCCTAAGTTTGGAGTTAAGCCCAGAATGGGCAATTTCATTGAGTGGGGATAGAATGGGGAGAAGTCCTTCGTCTTTCCCTTCCCCACACTGAAGCCTGAAGCTTAAACAAACTCCAGCCTCCAAGGGGAGTAATTTCATTTGCCAACCTTCAGGAACAAAAGCTTCTAGTTTCCTGCTTGGACTTTGGGGGTCTTGGATCCTGGGGCTCAGCAGATCCGAGGGGATGGGGGCTCTAGTTAGACATCCGATGGAATGCTCCAACCAGGAAATCCTGTAGAGAGACTTCGTGTCTCCTCCAGGTCCATCTTCTCTCCAGTGCCGTCCCGCGTTGAGAGACCCTCCCCGAAGCCAGGAGAGGGCACCTCCTTGGGTGGGTGTTTACTTCCCACTCCACCTTTGGATTCTGGGCAGGGATAAACTATGCAATACCAGCTCCGTCTTATGTATGCATATATATATATATATGTATATATATGTGTGTGTGTGTGTGTATATATATAATTTTTTCTTTCCCAGTCAGGGAGGTGAAGATGGTGGGACAGGTTTGGAGAGAAATGCTCAGGTTTGCTTTATAGTCAGCCCCCCTAAGCCTCCAATAGCATTTTTCTTGTCCCCTTGCTACCCCTTCCAGCCGTCGGCCAGAACTCCCTTGACTAGTCTGGGTCACGCCGCGTGAGTTTCGTCCCATGCCCACCGGGGACGCCGCGAAACCACTCAGACAACCGCAGGTGGGAGCTGGGGATTCTGAGGAAGTGATAGGCTTGCTTCTTCAGAGTCCAAGGTCTTTGGATTGTACGTTGTGTTTTTATAGGGATTTTTGGAGCAATTTGTTTTTACTCTGACTTGTCAATTTCATCCTGCCCCCCACCCCCACCCAACGGGTATTTGTCTTATATTAAGAATACTTGAATGGTGTAAGTCGGGGTCAGGCTATCCCCACACTACACCTGGAATCCTGGTCACACCTGGAGGAGGGGGCAGAGGTTTTTTGTTTTATTTTTTTTAAAGAAGCAACTCTCTTCTCCTGATGTTTCCCCCCCTCCATATGCCTTGACCTCCAATCCTCCCCAAATCTTCTTTGGACATACCTGGCAGGCCAGGGCAGGGCCTGGAGGATTGAAGTTTCCTCTGCTAGTGACCTACTGAGTGTTGTGGGGTGGGGCATGACAGAGGAGGAAGATGGAGAGGCCGCCTTCCAATCTCCTGCCCCTCACTCCGGCCCCCTTCACGGGTCAGACTTCTGACTCACTTCCAAAGACTCTGTCTGCAGTATCTGAAGTTTCTTGAGTAGGATGGGAGTGTAAATGGAAAATCAGTGGTTCTTTCCAGCTGGGAGTTTTATGGGATTTTTTTTCTTTTAACTCCCCCCTTTCCCCCCCAAAAAAGCCTTGGAGACTCAAATTGCTATTTTCCCCCCTACTCAGAACTTAGCTGATACTGATGACTGACTTTTATTTTTGATTTTTAAATTTAGGTTCACTTTCCCCTTCCTGCCCAACTCTTCCCCTCCTCCCCTTTCAGCCAATTAATTCAACTTGGAACTGGTTAGAAATGTTACTGTGAACCTGACTTTTTCAAGGCTCATAAAGAGATGCCCACCCCCCCCCCCCCCCCCCCCCCCCCCGCCCGGGGTAGGCCATTCATGAAAGTGGCCGAGACGATGTCACACACTGCACTGCTGGTATCCAAGACTGGCCCCCATGAGAAGGGGGATGTCAGCTTAGAAACTGCTAAAAAACAACAACAACAAAAACAAAATATACACCAACCCAGTAGAAAGAAAAGGAGGGAAAAAAAAAAAGCACTTTAACTATGGGGTACCAGGTAAACTGATACAGCTCAAGAGTTTTCCTTTATAACAACTATCAAATGCCAGAATTTTGTATTCTGTTTTGTAAGAATTTAATAAAAGCATTGCAACCTATCGATTGTAGAAGATCGTGTGGTCTTCGTCACGGGGTGCTGGACCTGGGTTGTTGGTTGGGACCCCACTCCTTGGGTGTTAGTTGGAAGACAGATGAGTATCACATTGGCTTTTGCCCTCATGGAGCTGGGGGTGGGGCAGGCCAGGGGAGCAGGTACATAAGGGGTGACATTAGTGATACAAGGCAGAGTAGCTAAGTGCCTGGAGAGGGCACTTAGAATAGTGCTTGGCCCAAAGCAGGCATTTGACAAATACGTGTGGACTGTTATCCCCAAAGCTGAACACAAGATCATTCTCTTCCTCCTCAGTCTTTTTCAATACTATCTGAATCACCCTGCCTTGTATAGACACATCCGTCTACGTGTTGTATTCCTTGGCTGTCATACCCCGGCCAGTAGAAGAGGCTCTGGTAGGAGTAGGGAGTGTTATATTTTATTTTTATATCTCAGTGCCTCACACTTAGTAGGTATTTGCTAGTAAGGGGGGGAGGGGAAGAATGATCTTAGAAGGAAGATGAAATCCAAGATTATTTTACAAATGGGGAAAGAGATCCTCAGCCTTAAAGGGCTTCAAGGCTTACCCTAGGAGGCAGATGGTGCGTGCACAATCTGCATTATATAGGGAACAGAAGTGACAAGCTTAGGGTCACGGTGCATAAGGGTAGGGGAGAAAGCTAGGAGAGAGAGCTAAGATCGGAGGACACAGGACCCAATATGATCTAGCGGAGACAGAGCGATGCACCAAATCCAGTAGGTAAAACTAAATGGAGACGTTCACAAATCTTGAGGAAACCCCCCTCCCAAAAAAATTGTGCCTTAACATTTCTCCTGACTTGAGTGACTGTTTTAGAGCTAGTCTCTATTATGGGGTAAATTGAGCAAACCCAAGGGTTTGAGTTTACCCCCATCCCATTTTGCTCTGTTAAGACTAAACATAAAAATGAGTGGTCCTAGGGAACCGTGGAAGACATCTGTGCCAGGCACTATTCTAAGCTCTGGGAATACAAAGACAAAAATCAAACCATCGTTTTCCCCTTCCTTTTTCTCTTTTCCTCTCCTTCTTCCCACTCTTCTTTCAGTCCTTCCCTATTTCTCTTCACTCCCTCTTTCTCTTCCCTACTTCTCTCCGCCTCTTTTTAATATTCCTCCTCCTTTCCACCATGGCTCCCTTTCTGGCTCTTCCTTCACTCTCTCTTCCCTTATTCTCTCTTCCTGCTCTTTCGTCCCTCATTCCTCTCTTTTCCCCTTCCCTCACTCCTGTGGATTATAACACAGACCTTCTCAATCTTGCCCCTCCCGTAGCTCCTACCATTTTACCTCTGGGCTGGGGAGCCTAAGCTGATGTTTTAAGGGACCCTTCCTTTCATATTATTCTTTCACTTCAAATCTCTGCTCCTGCAGACATCTTTTGTTGACCACCTCAGCCCACAGTGGTAATGTCTCTTCGCTGAGTTCCTATGGTCTAGCAGCCCTTCATATTTGCCTGGTCTGTTCTCTGGAAAGGGCAGTCTCAGATGAATGTCGAGGTCAGAAAACAAGGCGTCAAGAAGAGGGGGAGAGGCAAGAAAGTGGAAGCATCTATTGCAGACAGATTCCTCAAGGAGTTTAGCCACAAAAGGGAGGAGAGGTGTGGGTGACAGCTAGTGGGAACGGGCCAGTCCAGTGGGGGTTTTCTGAGGATGGAGGAGACATGGGCATGGGACTATCACCTTCCTAGTCCTGGATATCATGCCTCTCCTGCTTTGGACGTATGATTTCACTGGTGGATACCCTGCTCTATCAGTACAGGCCAACAGCTACTCTACAATGTCGTCTTAGAGAGTTGCCTGGGAAATTAAGATGTTAAGTGACTGACCCAGGGTCACATCGCCCAACGTATTGGGATTTAAACCCAAGTTATCCAGACTCTGATTCTGGGTCTCTACTCATTAGGCAACACTGCCTCTCCTGCCCCTTTGAATGTAACCTAATATTGGATCAGTTTTTTGGCTGTCATGTGACATTGTTGGTTCATATTAGTCTGTTATGCCCATTAACCCACCCCCCCCCCGATAATTTTCAGAAAAACTGCTGCCTGGGCAAACCACCTGCATATTGCACTTGGGAGGCCATTTTATTTAAACTCAAGTATAAGACTACATTTGTCCCTTTAAAAATGTATCCTTTTAGCTTCTGCCCGGCCTTCTACCTCGCCAAGATTTTTGTGGATCCAAACTTTCACCTGGTATATGAGCTATCTCTCCAGATGTTTTTCTCTTCTGGAAATTTGATAAATATATGACTATATTTTCTCAAAGTCATTGGTAGAAATGTTAAAGTCCATGGCTAGGCAGAGCTCCTGAGATAGATAGATAGATAGATAGATAGATAGATAGATAGATAGATAGATATAGATAGATAAAGTGATCTATAGGTATATATGTGTTGTTGTTTGTCCTTTGTTTTTGAAGAGGACCAATGACATCCTAGGGTGATATCTTGACATACATATATACATACCTACATACCGTCTAAACCAGGATTGGGGAGCTTGCAACCTCAAGACCACATGTGGCCCTCTAGGTCCTCAAGTGCGGCCCTTTGACTGAATCTAAACTTCACAAAACAAATCCCCTTAATAAAAGGATTTATTCACTATTGATTAAAGAAATGCAAATCAAAACAACTCTGAGGTACCACATCACACCTATCAGATTGGCCAAGATGACAAAACAAGAAAATGATAAATGTTGGAGAAGATGTGGGAAAATTGGAACACTAACGCATTGTTGGTGGAGTTGTGAACTGTTCCAACCATTTTGGAGAGCAATTTAGAACTATTGTGCATACCCTTTGACCCAGCAATAGCACTTCTAGGGCTATATCCCAAAGAGATTATACAAATGGGAAAAGGACCCACAAGTACAAAAATATTTATAGCACCTCTTTTTGTGGTGGCCAAGAACTGGCAAGTAAGGGGACGCCCATCAATTGGGGAATGACTGAACAAGTTGTGGTATATGAATGTAATGGAATACTGTTGTGCTATAAGAAATGATGAACAGGCTGACTTCAGAAAAACCTGGAAAAACTTGTATGGTCTGATGCTGAGTGAAGTGAGCAAAACCAGGAGAGTGTTATACACAGTAACAGTCACATTGTGCTATGACTAATATTGATAAACTTAGCCCTTCTCAGGAATACAAGAATCTAAGACATCTCCAAAGGCCTCGTGATGGAAAATGCTATCCACATCCCAAGAAAGAACCATGGAATTTGAATGCCAATCAAAGCATACTATTTGCTATTTTTTTTTCTTCTGTTGAGTTTTGTTTCTTCTTTCTGGTGGTTCCTCCTATTGGTTCTAATTCTTACAACATCACTAATGTGAAAATGTTTAATAGGAATATATATGTATAGCCTATATCAGATTGTGCACTGTCTTGGGAGGGGGAGGGGGAGAAAAATTTTAAACTCAAAAGCATATGGAAGTGATTGTTAATAAATCTAAATAAATTAATAAAAAAAGGGGGGGGGAAGGATTTGTTCTATGAAACTTGGAGTAGTCAAAAGGCCACACCCAAGGACCTAGAAGACCACATGTGGCTTTGAGGCTGCAGGCTCCCCACCCCTGGTCTAAACATATGTATTCTCTCTATATATGTATTCTATGTATACACATGTGTATGTATATATTATATGTATTTTATAAGTGTGTGGATATATATATTCATATGTAGAACAGAAAGAATGCTGGATTTCGAGTCAGGGGACCTGTGTTCAAATCCCTGCTCTGATATTTCGCACCTATGTGACCTCAGGCAAGTCATTTCCCTTTCCTTGGTTCTGAGTTTTCTGGTGTGCACAAGGAGGAGGTTGGAGAAGGAATCTTTAGGGTCCCTTCCTGCTCTAGCCTAATGATCCTGGGGGCATTCCATTAGAGATCTCGTTCCAAGTTAACATCAAACCATTCATTGATCACTTATTCCATCCAACTGTCGACAAATGATTTTGAGATTCCCTAATCGTGCAGTCTTATAGCTCACATCTCTCATTCTTTTACACAAGCAAAGCATAAGAACCTTTGTAAACTGCTTTCCTAAAACCTAGGTAAGTTACACCTATAACATTCTCCTGACCTACCAGTCTAGTAACTCCATCAAAAAACAAAAGGAAATGAGGTTCATCTGGTATGACTTGTCCTTGTTGGAACCGTGTTGACTCTGTGATTATTATAGCCTTTTCTACAGGTTCACTAATCATCCTTTTAATAATACAGTCTGGATTCTCCCAGGAGTTGAAGTCAAGCTCATTGGCTTCTAATTTACAGCCTCATCTCTTCCTAAAAAAAAAAAAAAAAAAAAAAAAGATCGTTCCCTCATTATTCTTTCAGCACTTCATTCTCCACATCTTTTAGAAGTCACTGACCATGCATCTGCCAATGAGTTCAGCACCCTGGGATGCAGTTCAGCTGGCCTGGTGGGCTGGCTTCAGCCAGGGCAGCGGGGTGCTCTCCTACAGTCCCCCTACTCACGTTGGGTATACCCTCCCTATTAGCCGTTTCTGTTGTGTTCTCCCTGACTCAAAGACGAATGCAAGATGGACAAGTGGAATGCTTCTTCTGCTCTCTCTTGTCCATGACTATGATCACACCCACCTCTAGCAGTCATTTTATCCCTTCCTTGATCCTC